GCAGACATTTGGTTCAGTCAAACCAAAGCTCAATTAGAATGCAAGGGACGTCTAGCAGAACTAACTATTTCCATTTAGTTAGTTCTTTGATTTAAAGTACAGCCTGGCAGTTAGCAGATTTGATCCATCATCCACCCCTTAAGTATAAGATTCAAAAGATTAATGATCTGGTAGACTTTAACCTTGCTATATTTATGTATAAATATACACATAAACTTCTCCCTGCATCTTTTGAAAATATTTTTAAAAAGCTTGGAAACTTTGAAAGATCTCTTAACTATCAACTTGACATTCTCAAAATGTGCTCATTACAGTATTTACCATCAAGCTCTTCTTAAGATGTGGAAAAACCTGCCTCTTGACTTAAAAAGAAGCAACTCTCTAAGTATATTTAAAAATAGACTACTAAATTCTCTTTTTGAAAATTATAGGACAATGTGTTATAAACCGAATTGCTATTCATGTAAAACTAATTAGATATATTTTAATATGCTTAGATATTTGTTGTGTACATGTCAGAAAATTACTTTAAACTCTAGTTATTCGAATTAATGTATAAACTATTTTGTATAAGATAAATTCGCACCCTGATCTCTAATCGTTCTCCTTAAATCTATTTAATTGAAATGTTTTGTTATTATTACTAAAATTAGGTGGAAAAAATAATCAAAACAGCCAAGAGCTATTTTCCACCCAATTGCTTTATACTTGTACTGTTAATATAATCATCAATTTGTAATTGTAGTCAATAAACTTTATCTTATCTTATCTTATCCATATGAGGTATTAAAAGCAAGAATGCTGAAGTTATTTACTTTATCAGACTACCAGCGTTTTGAAGCATTTTGCAGTGTATATATAAAATCATTTAACATTTTTTTCAGACCAAATTACTTACTAAAAGTTACTTAGACCAAAAGTTACTTAGACCAAAAGTTACTTAGACCAAAAGTTACTTAGACCAAAAGTTACTTAGACCAAATGTTACTTAGACCAAATGTTACTTAGACCAAATGTTACTTAGACCAAATGTTACTTAGACCAAATGTTACTAGAAAAAAAAACTAGACGAAAATGAACTAGACAAAAGTGAACTTAGACGAAAGTGTACTAGACGAAATGTTACTGAGCCGATTAATCTACCTTTGATAAGAAACATGTTGGCTATAATGCCAAAGAATTTTATACCTGGTTTACTTTTCAAAGGATTCTTCTTAAACAGGATGCCTTCAAAACTTTGTTTCTTCTGTTAAAATCAATGAATCTAGAATCCAGAGATCTAGCAGCAGAAGCAGATGAACTTTGCCAAGCCATGATTGTCATGCTTTAAATGCAACGTGGTACAGCAAAAATGTATCAGAACAAAGACAAAAATCTAACAATCCAGCCAACATTAGAGCAAAGGTTAATGCATATGGTTTATGTGTCATTCACAAGAAATATGGTAAAAAAGCTAGATACTGCAAGAACACAGAAACATGCACATGGTCGGAAAACGATTCACCGACAAAGGGTCAAACGACAAAGGGTCAAACGACACAGGGTCAAACGACACAGGGTCAAACGACAAGGGGTCAAAAGCGCAACAAAGGGTCAAACGACACAGGGTCAAATGACAAAGAGTCAAAAAATGCGACAAAAGGGCAAATTTTTTTTATTTTGACGGTTAGTATAATTTATTATTATTTAAGGTTAGGTTAGGTACATTCTGGGCCGAGCGCAGTGGCTAGGACAGGCTAGGGGGCGAGCGCTTTGGCCACATGGTCAATTATATCCATTTATTTATTATTATTTAGGGTTAGGTTAGGTTAGGTTAAGACACTTTCTGGGCCGAGCGCTGCGGCTAGGACAGGCTAGGGGGCCGAGCGCTATGGCCACATGGTCAATTATATCCATTTATTTATTATTATTTAGGAAAGCCAGAATCAGACTAAAGTTTTAAATCTTCAAAAAAGTTTGGCGGATTTTTGTGATTACAATTGCGAGTTTCCTATGATTCAAATCAAAAAATATTTTCATCATTTTGACCTTTTGTCGTTTGACCCTTTGTCGCACTTTTGACCCTTTGTCGTTTGACCCAGTGTCGTTTGACCCTGTGTCGTTTGACCCTTTGTCGTTTGACCCTGGGTCGTTTGACCCTTTGTCGGTGAATCCGGAAAACTGCTAGGCCGGCAGGAAATAAATACTCTTCCTGCCGGAAACTAGAGATTTTCTAATCAACACTGGAGCATCAGTTTCGGTTTTTCCTTGCCATAGAAGTCCTAAACAGTTTACTAAACTCAAACTTCATACTGCTGATGGAACCATGGAGAACGACTGCTTCCACTAAAATTTGAATGGAGTTTCCAGTTAGCTCCAATAACTACACCAATTATTGGAGGAGATTTTCTTATCCATCTAAACTTGCTTGAAGACTTGTAGATCTCTTAAAAGTAAAATTCTAAAGTTAAAGGGAGTGTTCGCGAAAAATGAAAGGGGAATCTACAAGTCTTCAAGCAAGTTTAGATGGATAAGAAAATAATATTTGTACACTCTGATATAATTTGACAACCTTTATATTTCGGATTAAATCAAATACATCCTTTTAAGAACTATAATACTGGGGTGAGACATTAAAAAAAAACTACTTTTACTGGTACGTCTTTGTGACCTTGTAGCTCCTTTATTGTTAGTTTTACTGGTGCAACTTTGTGATTGTGTAGCTCCTGTAGTGTTGATTTTACTGGTACGACTTTGTGATTGTGTAGCTCCTGTAGTGCTGATTTCACTGGTACGACTTTGTGATGTAAATTTTTTAATAGAGCGCAGTTTCCCCTTAACATCTTTATACAAATCACACTCCTGAAACGTTAACCCTATCCCTGCTGGGGTACTTGAAAACCAGGATATGACCCCCCCCCCCAGCAGGAATAGGGTTAAGGGCAAAGAAACCAAGTGGCCAAATCGTGTAAAAAAAAATAAAAGTTATTAAGAAATATCAACTTTTAACCGATGCATCGAATTGAATTCGCCATTTATAGGTTGCAATATCTGAATATTTCATTTTAAATTCATTTGAATTATTTCCAATCTCAGTGAAATAATGCAACTTTGAGAATTTTTATGGGTCCTACGTTCTTTGGTATGAATAGTTTTGAACCCTTTTCTCCTTTTAGACACAACAGATTGGAGTAAGATTAGTAGCAATCGCGAAATAATATCAAAATATCAAATGCCTAATTATGGAGTACAAACGCATTATTTTTCAATTAGGTCTACGAGTTAGAAATGTAAACAAATCAGAGAAAAATCAGAACAACAGATCGTACTGCATTGTTCACCTCAAAACTGGTTAAATGTAAACAACAAAGAGAAAACAAAGAGGAGAGGATAAGAGACAAGGGAAGAGAAGAAAAGAGATAAGGGAAGAAAAGAGCAGAGCAGAGAAGAAAAGAAAAAATAAGAAAAAAGAGAAGAAAAGAAAAGATAAAAAAAAGAAAAGAAAAGAAAAGAAAGAGAAGAAAAAAGAAGTTCAGAAAATAAAAGAGAAGAGTAGAAAATAGAAGAACAGATAGGAGAAGAGAAGAAAATAGAAGAGAAGACTAGAAAATAGAAGAAAGGAGAAAGAAGAAATGATTTTGCATTTTACAAACGTTTTATCACAAAAATATGTTTAAGAATACCTTAAACTTTAAAATTAACTTTATTGTAAAATTAAATGATAATTTTGAAAAAAATAGTTGTCCTAACTGTTTAGCGTACATTTTTTTGATCATTTAAAGATTTTTGATCATTTGGCATTTGATAATCTGATATTTTTGCGCGATCCCCACCGAATTTGATTCTACGTTAGCCTATATCCCCTTTCATTTATACTGATAATAATGATATTTTATCACATTTTATACAGAATTAAAGTTTTCTATTTAACTGAGAAGGCAGGGTTTCATGAAAATACTACACAAGCTCCATAGAAGTGTTCTTTCCCATAACGGTTTTAAATTCTTTTTATTAAAAATAATTAATTTTTACAGTTTGCTAAACCCTGTTGTCTACACCCCTTCCCAGTATCTTAAGAGTGATGCTTATGAAATTATCAGTAGTATGGGCAGCCTCATATCCCTTCATCCTACAGTGCAGGTGATAATCCTTTATCAGTAGTTTGAAAAGCCTCATATCCCTTCATCCTACACAGGTGATAATCCTTTATCAGTAGTTTGGGCAGCCTCATATCCCTTCATCCTATATTACAGGTGATAATCCTTTATCAGTAGTTTGGGCAGCCTCATATCGCTTCATCCTACAGTACAGGTGATAATCCTTTATCAGTAGTTTGGGCAGCCTCATATCCCTTCATCCTACAGCACAGGTGATAATCCTTTATCAGTAGTTTGGGCAGCCTCATATCCCTTCATCCTAGCACAGGTGATAATCCTTTATCAGTAGTTTGGGCAGTTTCATATCCCTTCATCCTACATAGGTGATAATCCTTTATCAGTAGTTTGGGCAGCCTCATATCCCTTCATCCTACAGCACAGGTGATAATCCTTTATATCCCTTCATCCTACAGCACAGGTGATAATCCTTTATCAGTAGTTTGGGCAGCCACATATCCCTTCATCCTACAGCACGGATGATAATCCTTTATCTATAGTTTGGACAGCCTCATATCCCTTCATACTAAAGCACAAGTGATAATCCTTTATCAGTAGTTTGGGCAGCCTCATATCCCTTCATCTTACAGCACAGGTGATAATCCTTTATCAATAGTTTGGGCAGCCTCATATCCCTTCATCCTCCAGCACAGGTGATAATCCTTTATCTGTAGTTTGGGCAGCCTTATATCCCTTCATCCTACAGCGCAGGTGATAATCCTTTATCTGTAGTTTGGGCAGCCTTATATCCCTTCATCCTCCAGCACAGGTGATAATCCTTTATCTGTAGTTTGGGCAGCCTTATATCGGTGATAATCCTTTATCAGTAGTTTGGGCAGCCTCATATCCCTTCATCCTACAGTACAGGGGATAATCCTTTATCAGTAGTATGGGCAGCCTCATATCCCTTCATCCTACAGCACAGGTGATAATCCTTTATCAGTAGTTTGGGCAGCCTCATATCTCTTCATCCTACGAGACGGCACAGGTAAAAATCCTTTATCAATAGTTTGGGCAGCCTTATATCCCTTCATTCATCCTACAGCACAGGTGATAATCCTTTATCTGTAGTTTGGGCAGCCTCATATCCTCCCTTCATCCTACAGCACAGGTGATAATCCTTTATCAGTAGTTTGGGCAGCCTCATATCCCTTAATCCTACAGCACAGGTCATAATTCTTTATCAATAGTTTGGGCAGCCTCATATCCCTTCATCCTACAGCACAGGTGATAATCCTTTATCAGTAGTTTGGGCAGCCTCATATCCCTTCATCCTACAGCACAGGTGATAATCCTTTATCAGTAGTTTGGGCAGCCTCATATCCCTTCATCCTACAGTACAGGTGATAATCCTTTATCAGTAGTTTGGACAGCCTCATATCCCTTCATCCTACACAGGTGATAATCCTTTATCAATAATGATAATCCTTTATCAGTAGTTTGGGCAGCCTTATATCCCTTCATCCTACAGCACAGGTGATAATCCTTTATCAGTAGTTTGGGCAGCCTCACATCCCTTCAACCTACAGCACAGGTGATAATCCTTTATCAGTTGTATGGGCAGCCTTATATCCCTTCATCCTACAGCACAGGTAATAATCCTTAATCAGTAGTTTGGGCAGCCTTATATCCCTTCATCCTACAGCACAGGTGATAATCCTTTATCTGTAGTTTGGGCAGCCTCATATCCCTTCATGCTACACAGGTGATAATCCTTTATCAATAATTTGGGCAGCCTCATATCCCTTCATCCTACAGTATAGAGGTGATGATCATTTATCAGTTGTTTGGGCAGCCTCATATCCTTTCTTCCTACACAGGTGATAATCCTTTATCAGCAGTTTGGGCAGGTTCATTTCCCTTCATCCTACAGTACAGGGTTCTATCACCCAGTAATGTCGTCTTAGTTTGATGTTTACTCATGTGCAGGCTCTGTTACTCAGTAATGTCGTCTTATTTGATGTTTACTCATGTACAGGTTCTGTCACTCAGTAATGTCATATTAGTTGATGTTTACTCATGTGCAGGTTCTGTTACTCAGTAATGTTGCCTTAGTTTGATGTTTACTCATGTGCAGGTTATTTTCATGTTTACTCATGTGCAGGTTCTGTTACTTAGTAATGTCGTCTTAGTTTGATGTTTACTCATGTGTAGGTTCTGTTACTTAGTAATGTCGCCTTAGTTTGATGTTTACTAATGTGCAGGTTCTGGAACTCAGTAATGTCATATTAGTTGATGTTTACTCATGTACAGGTTCTGTTACTCAGTAATGTCGCCTTAGTTTGATGTTTACTAATGTGCAGGTTCTGGAACTCAGTAATTTCATATTAGTTGATGTTTACTCATGTGCAGGTTCTGTTACTTAGTAATGTCGCCTTAGTCTGATGTTTACTCATGTGTAGGTTCTGGTACTCAGTAATGTCGTCTTAGTTTGATGTTTACTCCTGTGTAGGTTCTGTTACTTAGTAATGTCATATTAGTTGATGTTTACTCATGTGCAGGTTCTGTTACTTAGTAATGTCGTCTTAGTTTGATGTTTACTCATGTGTAGGTTCTGTTACTTAGTAATGTCGCCTTAGTTTGATGTTTACTAATGTGCAGGTTCTGGAACTCAGTAATGTCATATTAGTTGATGTTTACTCATGTACAGGTTCTGTTACTCAGTAATGTCGCCTTAGTTTGATGTTTACTAATGTGCAGGTTCTGGAACTCAGTAATTTCATATTAGTTGATGTTTACTCATGTACAGGTTCTGTTACTTAGTAATGTAATATTAGTTGATGTTCACTCATGTGCAGGTTCTGTTACTCAGTAATGTCATATTAGTTTATGTTTACTCATGTTCAGGTTCTGGTACTCAGTAATGTCATATTAGTTTATGTTTACTCATGTGTAGGTTCTGTTACTTATTAATGTCGCCTTAGTGTGATGTTTACTCATGTGTAGGTTCTGTTACTCAGTAATGTCATATTAGTTTATGTTTACTCATGTGCAGGTTCTGTTACTCAGTAATGTCATATTAGTTTATGTTTACTTATGTGCAGGTTCTGTTACTTATTAATGTCGCCTTAGTTTGATGTTAACTCATGTGTAGGTTCTGTTACTCAGTAATGTCGTCTCAGTTTGATGTTTACTCATGTGTAGGTTCTGGTACTCAGTAATGTCGTCTTCATCAAATATTTCTGTTACAGGTGTTGATGCTGAGTAATGATGAAATATCAGAATTACTCTCTCTTTCACATGTTAACCAGGGGAGTAACTCTTAACTAACCAAAAATTGTCAAAATAAACAGAGTTACCTTCAAAGGATGAGACTGTAAAGACGACCTAAAACTCGTTAAATTTGACGATTCAGGGGTTAAACTATGTCTTCTGCCTTAAATATAATCTAATATATTCAATGATCAGGCAAGAAAAGAAAGAAATTTACAATTGCAGTGAATTATGAATATAAGGAAACAGACAGTATAAATTCTGTTCAAAAGTCTTTTGAAGTCATCCTTTGTGGGTATACCCTGTAACTCAGATTTTGAATTCATATGTTGAACAAATTTAATCATTTATTCTTATTTTCTAACTTTCAACGACTTAAATTGCTTTGATTTTTGAGGCATTCTGTATCCTTTAAAGTAGTCGGCGATTATATCAATACAATAAAGACGACCTTTTTAAAAACAATACTTTAATCCGTAAACAGTAATTTTCAAATTACAAGTAAACAATAAGAAAAGCTTTTTGTTGACAACTTCTCTTTGTTTTAAGGTTTCTCCTGTTTAAAAGCTTGGTAGAAATAAAAATTGAAATAGAAAGTTGTCTTTATTGTATTGATACATACTGCGAAGACTATATTTAGATTTTAGATTAAACTAAACATTTATTAAAACCAATTTACAAAAAATTGCTAAATAACGTTTTCAAAGGAAATAAGTTAGAATTGTTACGAATAAAGGAGTTGAAAAAACGGAGATGGTTTGCTGTAGAAGCAGTTCATCTAGCAGTAGATATAAGAGCTAGTGCCAGGGGTAAGATTTACTATAAATTAACCCATTTACAATGATATTACAACATAATACAAATTACAATACATAATTAGATATTTTACAGTCGTCGTTTTATATATTAATTCAATAAAGACGACTTTCTATTTCAATTTTGATATCTAACAAACTTAACAGCATGGATACACATAATTATAGAAAAAGAGCAAATCATAAAAAAGTTCTCTTCGTTTACTTGTAAATTTTTGCAATGGAAACCCAAACATCAACCTCATTTATTCCTTAAAACTCATTAATGATTATAAATTTATTATACTTACAACCCTCTTAACTGAGAATGGGTTTAAGACTGTTTTAAAAATTGAGCTTATGGTAAACCGTAGCAACATGCAAAGTAGGGTTTTCAAATTTTCAATTAATTTCTTTATTTAAATTTCGCAATATTTCGAAAGTTTCTTTTTCGCGAATTTTGATATATATCAGAACATTTTTATGCTTTTTACTCAAAAAAAAAATTATTTTCCAAACTAAGTTTAGCTAATATCATAATTGTATACATTCTGATAAAGTCGTTTTGTCTGTCTTTTAAATGTTCATCTTCAGTTTAAATCCTATATGTGTTTAAATACCTGTAAATAACATTTAAATATACTTCTTTAGTTTGTAGATATACTAACAATAGATTTCAAAATATAGATTTCACCAAGAGTTTGCGAAACTGCGGTCAAATTACATCGAAAATTGCGATATTTTTTCGTCGAAAGTGTTCAAAAATTACAACACCCTACTGCAGAGTGCAGCTTAGGCGACACTCAATAAATGTGTTGAGTGATAAAGTGTTGACAATGTCATGCTGAAGTGAACATGGTATAAAGGAGGCAAGTCAAGTGTTTGCTCATACTTTTAAACATTTCAATTATTAAATGAATTTTAAATACTTTAATGCAGGAAGTATAATTTCGTACATGGAAAACTTTGTTTTTGGAAAATTAATTATTTGAGTTGTTTGAGACATCTTTGTTAAAAATATATTGTGGTATAAATAAAAAAAAAATGTAATTGTTTCTTTTGTTGAGATTTAGAAAATGCAAAACACTTAAAATATTTTTAAAGATAATACAAGCTTCTTTAATAAATCTTTACCACCAAAGTGAATAAATATTTTATCACTTCGCTTTACCACTCCAAATAAACTTGTACAGTATGCCCCAGAATCGAAGTTTTAATAATGTTTTCCTTAATCATCCATTCATCGTGGAGCATTTAAAATTAACGGACCTGAATCTGAACACCTATTTAGACCTTAATTCTAGAACACGTGTTTAGACCTATATTGTAGAAAACATGTTTAGACCTGATTTATAGAACATGTGTTTAGACCTGAATTATAGAACATGTGTTTAAACCTGAATTATAGAACATGTGTTTAAACCTGAATTATAGAACGAGTGTTTAGACCTGAATTATAGAACACATGTTTAGACCTGAATTATAGAACATGTGTTTAGGTCTGAATTCTATAATATGTGTTTAGACCTCAATTATAGAACATGTGTCTAGGTTTAAATTATAGAACACATGTTTAGGTCTGAATTCTAGAACACGTTTATAGGCCTGAATTATAGAACATGTGTTTAGGTCTAAATTCTAGAACACGTATTTATGTCTGAATTCTAGAACACATGTTTAGACCTGAATTCTAGAACACATGTTTAGATCTGAATTCTAGAACATGTGTTTAGGTCTAAATTCTAGAACACGTGTCTAGGTCTAAATTCTAGAACATGTGTTTAGACCTGAATTCTAGTAGGTCTGAATTCTAGAACATGTATTTATTTATGTCTGAATTCTGGAACACGTGTTTAGGTCTGAATTCTAGAACACATGTTGGGACCTAAATTCTAGAACATGTGTTTAGGTCTAAATTCAAGAACACGTATTTATGTCTGAATTCTGGAACATGTGTTAAGGTCTGAATTCTAGAACATGTATTTATGTCTGAATTTTTGAACACATGTTTAGGTCTGAATTGTAGAACATGTATTTATTTATGTCTGAAATCTAGAACACATGTTTATGGTCTGAATTCTAGAACATGTATTTATTTATGTCTGAAATCTAGAACACGTATTTATGTCTGAATTCTATAACATGTGTTTAGACCTGAATTCTAGAACATGTATTTATTTATGTCTGAAATCTAGAACACGTGTTTAGGTCTGAATTCTAGAACATGTATTTATTTATGTCTAAAATCTAGAACACGTGTTTAGGTCTGAATTCTAGATTATGTATTTATTTATGTCTGAAATCTAGAACACGTGTTTAGGACGAAGTTCAGGGGGTCTTGGAAGTTTTACGACACTGTCTTACCTGGGTAAAGGAAGGAATAATGGACTTCGGAACCAGTTTCTTAGGTAATATAAATGCTTACTATCATTTAAATAGTGGTAATTTTGTTTGTCTGCCTGTTTGTTTGTTAGTTGATCATATCTCAGGAACCACATCTCTCCGTATCATATCTCCGTTTTGCACTAATTTTGATTGGGAACTCTGGATAACCACAAAAATGTTCTTAGCTTAATATAAACATTTTGGCGACTTTAGTAAAGAAATTTTTGTTTTCAGGCAAAGCTGGGTTCCCTAAAGCTATGTAACTAAATAAAACCTAAAGCAGAGGGGGAAATGTGTAAAAAATCTATACAGGACTCGCTAACTAAAACTTTCTAAGAGTAACTAAAAAAGACTAAAAAGAATTTGAAACTAGATATAATTTCTAGATATTTTTAAAAGATTATTTTCAGAAGACATTTACTAACTGGAGATGTAGATGGAAATGTTTATAAAGAATGGATGGTTTATGACAACATGATAAAGGTATTTGTTATCATTGATACTGAAGAAAAAGCTGATTACTCGACTCAAAATCTAATTATATTAGGTCCTTTTTTCTTTGCATCCTGCTTGCAACCTTCGATTTTAAATTTTTCAAACTTTATTCATTATTGTTAGAAACATATTAATTGGTTATTGCTTTCAAGTTACAAAGATTAGACAACTTCAGTTTTAAGTAAGGATCAGTCAATTTGACAGAAAATTATTTTACGATTTTTATCAAATCATTCTATTTGATTTTTGAAACAGTTTTGGTCTGATATTGATAAAAATTTATCTGATGAAATTCAAGGAAAACTTTAACAATTCAAAATTGATTTTTTTTTAGATCCATCGAGCCTATGGCGATACACTTCTAGAACACCAAGTATATTTGATAGATGCTCTCAATAAAGAATTTGAAATCAAAGAACAACTAGAAGAACAAATAGATGAAGAAGTAGAAGAACGAGAAGAAGAAGAAGAAGTAGAAGAGGAGAAAAGAGAAGAAACAGGTTTAAAAGAAGAGAACGGAGATGGAAAAAATAAAATTGAGAAGGACAGAGAAGGGAGGAATGAAAGTGAGAAGGATGTAGGAGGAAGGGATGAAGGGGTTTTTATCTCAATGTTTCTGATGCCGGATATTAAGAATGTTGTTCTGATTCCACAGGTAATAATTCTTACAATGAGATCATTTTTTCCCAAATTTTTTCTTGATTTTCAAAAAAAATACTATAAAACGAGAAATTTTAGGCATAAACACTAAAAAGTATTTCTAATTGGTTCTGCCATTTTGACGTTTATTGGATACAAACAGTAAAGCAATATATATAGAAATATTTATTTGATATTATCATGTTTTCTCTAATTTGATTCAGGTTGGTTGGTTAATCGAAGGAGTGCTTAATGCTACAAAAGTTGAAGACAATAATACAATTATTAAATACTCTCCTATCCAGACAAGTGTACTCTCAAGGAACAAACATTAAACACTTTATAAAATCAAATATTTCTAATTTAAATGGGACATTACATAATACATACAATAATTTCAAAACACTTGTTCTTCTTAATTTCTAAAGATCTTTAAAAAAACAATTTTTGATTAAAATTTCATTAAGATTTAGAGTCTAACGTGATATTCACTTTACTGCATTAATAAAAAATATTGGAACAAATTGTGTTGGTCCTTTTAAAGTGAACCGAGGATAATTCGAAATATGGAACACTTTTTGTGAAATAGTTCGACCTATGGAACACTTTGTGTGAACTAGTTCGACATGGAACACTTTGTGTTAATTACTTCGACGTATGGAACACTTCGTGTGAAATGACTAACACAAATTCTCCTTATTATAGACTGAAAGAATATTTTTTTATGTTCGTTTATGATGGCTAAAAGAAAACATCTGTTTCCATGAATACAACGTTATTTAACGGGCCGACAAGTCAACGTAGACTTCATACAGAATAGTTCGATTTAAAAGTTGAAAACAGCCCCTTTCTAAAAGGTAATGTAAACGTAATTTTAACTGATCCTTCATGGTAAGATGACAATGCCCGATGTACATGGTACTTTTTAAACTTAAATCTGATTTTAAAATGTGGAAGCTACCGTCGTTTATCAGACTCAAAAAGTGTTATCTATTGTTTATTTTAACAAGACATGTGCCAGACTTTTTTGCTGAGAAGCCTCTATTGAAAAATGACACACAATTATTCAGATATTAAAACCAATAGTCATCGATAATTTTTCGAAGCATTCGTATCTATTTAATATTTCATAATATTTTTGATTTTGCTTTTTTTTCAAATAGTATTTCGCTGGTGCTGGATTTTCGAACATTCCTGGAAAATATGAAAATGTCGTCTTCATTATCAAAAATCCTCGAATCATGAATAAATGTTTCTAAAATTAACTCTCAGATCATAAAAAATAGAAAATATTAAATATCAACTATATACGAATGCGTCAACCAATAATCGATGATTATTGGTTGTAATATCTAATTGATTGTTTAGGAATTAAATTCAGTTTTTACGATCCAAGTTGAATGTTGAAACTTTCTGAATTTATATGGACTCTACGTTCTTCAGCATGAGTCATTTTTAACAATTTTCTCCTTATAGACGCAACAGATAGAAGTAAGATTAGTAGCGCTCAAAAGCACTTATACCCCCTTTCATTTATTTTATTGTTGGTTGTCTGCAGACGAGAGTTGGAAGGATTATATGAGGGAAAGAAATCAAATTGTTCAGATCCAATATTCTCTATTAATATTCAACCCAGGTAACTATATATTTATATTTTATATAGTTATATATATATATTAATATTTTATTTAGCTAAATAAACAAAATATTATACAACAAATGGCCTTTAAAGAAAAGGGGCTGAATGCGTAAATGCAAAGATGACAACCTTTTTATGAATGGCAAATTATTTCATTTACAACCTTAATGTCGTCTCTTAACTGTCATACATATGGGACACCCTGTACGTTCGGTGGCGTTTATATCAATACAATGAAGACTACTGAAGACTACAAGTTTACATGTAAACAAAGAGAAGCTTCATGCTGCTTAATTAAAAGCTTGTTAAAAATCCAAATTAAAATACAAAGTCGTCTTCCTTGTATTAATATACGCCGACCACGACTGTTTATCTATTCTTTATATATATCTATATCTAGGGTTTTTGTACCAGATCTGGTGTTAAATCTAACACTGTCTGATATACCAGACACACTAATACTGCCAGTTCAGGGTGGTGTAGGAGTTCATCTACATTGTAACAACGACGACATAGGTAAATCATATGCATTCATTGGGACCAAAAATAAAGTCCCACATTCATATCCTAGACAATATCCATCGTAAACTGGATATTTTTTAGGATATGTATGTACACATAGTAAACTGGATATTGTCTAGATAATGTGGAGTGTTTAATTCAGACAATATCTTCAATTATTTCTAAAACAAAAGTCCGCAAGTTACTTTATAAGAAACTACTAACCAAAGCAATCAATTTTGATGGAGGAAATGATAGATGTATCACGTATTCTTGAAAAGACAAAGATTGTAAAGGTTCTGCTAGGAATCAGATCAGACATGCCACTCTATTAATGTCACTTAAAATTTCGTCTGCAGTCCTTTAAATATTTATAATTATTTTTCAATAATTAGACAGTTTTAAATGTACAAAGCAGAAAAATGTCTTTGATCACTGCAGCGAACAATTTGTGAGATATACCTCCCAATCTGTGCAACTATTCTAAATAAATCATTTAGAAATGCTTTTTTGACAGTTTTAAATTTTTCTGAAAAAAGGTTCACACTTGTTTTCTATATTATCATATTTTTTCTCTTTGTTTAAGATAAACTTGAGTTAACGTAGAATTATTTACTTTGCTTGTTAGCATTTTTAATATGCAAATAGAAACGTATAATCGATTTTTAAATATTGCTTCATTTTATAATTAATTCAAGTTTGAAATTATCATATTCTATTCTCTCGATGATGCAAACAGTTCCGTTTAGAAATTAAAGTAAGGAAAATATATTGTCCTCAAATATCTAATCTAAACAGTCCCGAAAATTTATTTTTCCCAGCAATTTAGTTTATATAGCCAACATTTTAGATTCTTAAGATAGATTTAATTTTTACTAATGTTAAACTCCCGTTTGCTCAATTATTTGAACATATCTGAATGCATAGTTTTTCAATTCTGTTTTCACATTTCTACTTTTTTTAGAACTCGAGAAATAGAAACACCAGCCCATCACTTTAATCAACCACATTCAGAAAGAACTATTAAGAAGACATTTTGACAAAATTTTAACGAATATTATTAATATAAAGAATAAAGTTTGTATGTTTGTTTATGCAATATATGCTAAGAATTCTGAAAAACAAGAATAAGAGCTTTATATTGATTTTTTATTTATGAATAAATAAAATAAATATTTAATTTAAGCAGATTTGTAGGCAGGAGCAGGGGCGTAGGCAGGGGCGGGCTTGTAGGGAGCTGGGGCAGGGGCGTACTTGGCCTCTCCAGAGTAGGTGACGTCAGCGACGTATCCAGAGTAAGCATCGGAGACGGTGTAGGTCACAGTCTGGATTCTGCCATCGGGAAGAGAAACGGAGTAAGATCCAGAGGTAGCGTATCCGTCTCTGTTCTCTCCGGCGTTGAACTTGGATCCGGAGTAGTCATCGGCAACGGCGTAGTTGTAGGCGTAGACTGGAGGAACATCAGCGTATGCGGGCTCTGCAGCGTACTTGGGGGCTGGGGCGTAGGCAGGAGCAGGGGCGTAGCTGGGTGCGTTGTCGGCAGCAGCCAGGGCGAAGAAAGCAGCAAAGGCAATGGCGCTGATCATGATGTATATAGTTTAGTAGCTGGTACTCAACTGATAAACTACCATGGTTAGTACTGGGTATTTATATGAAACACGGAAAAGTTCTAGAAATAGGGGTTGAGGGGCGTCGACCAAGCCGTCCCTAGCGTTGTTCCCCCGTCTTCCGCCATGTGTATCTGGTTCTCAATAAACCTAAAGGATAAAATCTTCCTGAACAAATTTTAAAAAAATTGTTTCCCTATTTTTTTACATGTTCCAATTTAACCTAAATTTTGTTTGTCATATTGTGAGGTATAAGCAGCCCTGTTCCTGACCGGTTGCAGCATAAAAAGAATTTATATGAAGTGCACTGACCTAAACTACCTTATATAAGAGGGCTTATACTAACCGCTCAATAATATAACATTAACATAGAGGGAAGAAAAACAATTAGATCAAAGAATACGATGAAAGAATGATTAAAAACTTCGAAACAGAAAGAATTTGGAAAAAAGATTTCAAATAAGGGAGACAATTATTTGTACTATATTTGTTCTATTCCTCCTTCTTCGTCATTCTTCTATTCCTCATTCTTCTATTTCTCCTTCCTCTTCATTCTTCTATTCCTCCTTCGTCGTTCTTTTATTTCTCCTTCTGCATTCTTCTATTCCTCCTTCTTCATTCTTCTATTCCTCCTCCTCTTCATTCTTCTACTTCTCCTTCTTCATTCTTCTATTTCTCCTCCCTCTTCATTCTTCTATTTCTCCTTCTTCTTCATTCTTCTATTCCAACTTCCTCTTCATTCTTCTATTCCTCCTTCTTCTTCATTCTTCTATTCCTCCCTCTTCATTCTTCTATTTCTCCTTCTTCTTCATTCTTCTATTCCTCCTTCCTCTTCATTCTTCTATTTCTCCTTCTTCTTCATTCTTCTATTCCTCCCTCTTCATTCTTCTATTACCCCCAGGATTCTAGGGGGGGTAAATAACCCCAATAACCCCAATTTATTTACGCCTGCACTGCCGGGTAACTTCTTCTAATTGCTTAGTTGATGATTTGGCAAAGATAAAAACAAGTTATCTTAGAAACTGAAACTGACAGTATAAATTTCGTACAATCGTGTCTGAAATCTCATCCTTTCGTGGTAGCCCTGTATTTCCTAAAATTTGCAGAAAATCTTGTTTTAATTACTCATGTTGTACCAATGAGTTTGAATAGTCAGAAACAGTTCATTCATTTTATAGTAAACAGGATTACAATTATTTCTATAATTTAAATAACACATTTTTTACGAAGTCAATTTTATACAGATACAAGAATAAAAACAAAGAAAAGACGACTTACCTGTAGTAGTTATTGAGTATGTATTAGTTCTAACAATATTAATAAAAGTATTTAGTTATTTTTTTTTGTTGAATACAATAGAGTAAAAATAAATAATAGGTATTACATTGTTTTTAATGTATTGATAAATGTTTGTTTGGGATTATTATTCACAAAGAACAAGTTAAAGGACAGGTCAAATAATTTTAAAATTACAGTTAAGAACTGTCCGTTGTGAATGAAATCTTCTTATACCGCCCCACTGTGTGTGCACCCTGCTGGGACAAGATGAAGACCTAGCTCTAGGGAAAGTGAAGAGGGAGATGATGGGATTGATTCTAACAGCTCATCTGATAATTGGTTCCCGGACTAGACTGGCAAATTCACCTGTCCCAAAATGATTGATACAAGTTAAACCACCTTTTCTCCTCTTCTTTAATTACTGCACAGGGATGTAATATATCCTGCCCCTGCTTTAAATGACACTAATCGGGAATCCTGTCATGCCGGGTGTATACCCATGTTTGTCTAAATTTAGTACAATCATTCATTTGAGGGTGTCATCAATTTGATTTCATCCTCTCCTAAATTCTAGTAATTATCCTGTCTTATTAAGATGTAAAAATGCCTTGTACATTGTACAGTATACTGAGATAAAGGGGAAGTTATATTTGATGTATTAATACTATGAGGGTAATTATCCTAATTACTTTTACTACACCCCTGCTATAGTTAGCCCTCCCCTCTCTTTTTCCCTGTTATAGAAATACTCTCCCCCCCGGGACCTTCGTACTACACCCCTGCGAGTCAGGCCTCCCCTCCTTTTTTTTCCCCAGCGCAAATACCCTTTTCCCCCCTTTTCAAAGTAGTATAAAAGGGCATTTTTTGGGGGCCAAAGCAGTGTGAAAAAGTTTTCCGACAGATCCTTTTGGATTTATCAGTCAGGTCAAAGTTTTATTTTGTTCCCTTTATCTTTTAGGTTAAGGGTCAACATTTTCCTTATCCGCCTTCCCCCCCCCCCCCCCCCCCCCCCCCCTACTCTTCTCTATTAGGTGAAACCCTCTCTAATCCTATTGGAGGACACAATGTTACCGTCTCCAATCAGAGAAGAGTAGTCAAACTAGAATTAGTTCAAATAACACAATTTAGGTGTCTCTATAGTTACAATCGAATTCTCAAAGTTCTGCATTTTTCTTTGATAAAACTATTACAATATATATTTCCTCTGTTTTCAGCATAATATAATATACATAAACTAATATTAAATGCACACTACTTTTACAACATCTAGATATTTCTGCTGATAGTTAGTGGGATGTCTCATTATTATGTCAAATTACACTGTTAAGTATGACAAATCATAATTAAATCTCTCCCTGAAATTTGAATTGTACTTTATTTGAATGTTCATCGACCAAGCTAGCTCATTGTTCATGTAGTATTTTATTGTAGACATGTATGTATGCATAATTATTGTAAAGTAAACTAAAATCAAACCAAATTCCGAATCCACAAGACATAAAATATTACAAAAATTAAAACAGCTTAAGGGAGTCTAACTTTATAAATATGTATATCAACTATCAATTGCCCCCTCTCTAGGTCATAATTATTAAAAGACATGTCCTACATTTCATAATTGTTTATTTTCCATGTAGAGAGTTTCTATTGGTGTGAATTTAACTGAATTTAATTGTTCGTATTTATGGCAAATTTAAAGATTTAATTTAAAAATTATATTATTTAGAATTGAAGTGAGGATTTTATGTTACATTAGTTTGGATTAATTCTAGCTCTTAAATGTGGTGACTTTTGCCACTCTTGGCATTAATTTGATTATTATAAGACAATATAAACAAAGACAAGCAATGTACATGTACACGTATTCAAAATGAGATTATAGTTTAAAAGTTACAGTATTTAAAGTTGAAATAAGATTGTATCCGACTTTGCTATGGTACATCCCCCTCTTAATCACTTTTGCCACTTTTGGCATTGATCTGATTAATCTAATGTAAATTGTTAAAGTAGATAAGAAATACATGTACTTTAAAACTTAAACATATCACTCAAAACGAAATTTTAAAATTGGACTGTGATAAAATGGTAACAATTATAATAATAATAATTTTCAAAACATTAAACTATATAATTCTCCGGATTCCGGAATGTCGTTCAATTATTTATTTGAATTGCTGGCACACAGTATACACACACAGTGTATAATACACTGACCGCTAGGGTACCTGAGCCCAAAAATTAAGACAGGGTATCGTTATGAAAACCAGTTTTGGAACCCTGGTTTCACGGATGGGTTTAGGCAGTTTTGTGGATATCAATATTTTTGTTATGAAATATTATTTTATATAGTTTCTTTATATTCTCCATTTTTTTCTAATCTCTTAAATCAAAATCTACACAAATGTTAAGACCCCAAAAAGGAAACTGGAAGGGTTCGTTCAACGATACTCTTTTAAATTTCGGGTTCAGAGGTGATCTGTGCCATGCTCACCTATAGAAACATCATTTAAAGGGTTGCTTACCACAGACACACACTCTGTTTTACGGACAATCAAACTCATTACGGCAGGGGTCAGTTTCTCCCCTCTACCCCCAGCCCTTAACCCTTTGGGCACCCACAGTCTTAGTATAATTAGGGGCAGTGCGTCCAATAAGAAATCTTTAATGAGGGGAGGGGGTTAGGAACCGTCAGGGTAGTAATATGTTTAGAATATTAGAAGCTAGGTGTCTCTCTAATCAATATTTCGTTTATTAGATTTATTCGTTCATTGTTCAAAAACACTTTAAGAAGATTTTTCAAGAATAATTCAGATGTTTATCATGCATATGTATCTCATCAACGCAACTGTTTAATGTTTTGAATTTCAAAAAATACAAATCATAACTTTATTTATTTCAAATAATTTGTTTTCGTAAGTAAGACTTTAACCAAGATATCACCTAAGTAAGACAACCAGCACCTTTGTTTTGATCACTGTAAGTGATATAACTTCATTGAAACTGAACATTAATTTTGTATCAAAAGTATTACTCACAAGTTTAGATTTATTAAAGAGATTAAACTTAAAACGTTGCACAAGAGAATTGATGTTTAATTACACTTTTTAAATTGTATTAGTGTTTTTGTATAATATTATCTATTACATGATTCAAAGAATTAAACACACACTTTTTTACTGACAATTAAATACAGAGTAGATTGGTTAAAGTGGAAGAGATTTATCAGGTATTCTTGCGTCCAATAAGAACCCGGTCATTCATGGTGAGGGGAGAGCTAGGGAAGGAACCTGCCGTGTTGGGAAAGAATCATTTATGAGTAAAATGTTTAGAATATTAGAAGCTAGGTGTCTCTGTCTGCAATATTTTGTTTTTAAGATGTATTCATTCATATTGTTTAAAAACTGTTATAACATTTTTACTATTATACTTTGATATTTAGTTAACATGTTTATTTATGGTTTTAACAATAGTTTCAGCTTTTTTTCAATATTTCTAAAAATCATTGAAATAAATTGCTCTACGAATATAATATTGATACTTAAAATTGGTACCCTACTGATAAAAAAAAATTTGTTTTCATCCAAAATTGGTTCACAACTGTAAAGTTAAAAAAGTGAAGAAGTTTTAGCGTTCTAAAGTAAGCCAATTTCAAGTTATTTATTAAAAACAACGGGAGGGGGGTAGGTGGTGGAAAACGCCCTGCCCCCCCCCCTTCTCAGCTATGATAGGTTTAATTGCCGTCCCAGTCTCGACAGTATACACTGACCGCAAGGGTACCTGTGCCAGATCACATTATTTAGGGTACCTCGCCACAGTCACACTCTTTTTAACGGACAAGCAAACACATTATGGCAGGGGTCAGGGGACTCCAACAGTATAAGTTTTTTTTCAATTCCGTCCAATCTGATTATGAACCAGGTGTGGCGTTATTTTTGGGTAAACGTTAAATAATGATAGTAGACTCTACGCAGCAAAATTTCCGCGTGATTCGCGCACAATTCTGTGAATGTAAACAGTAAATTAAGTAAAAGTATTTCTTATATTTGAGAATCAATCAAGTTTTGATGAGTAACAGACAGTAAAAATCAATTGTTTTAACATTAGGGATCGATATTACAGCTTAGTTTACGTAAGTTAATTGTTAGGATTCTGATACTTGCAACTAATGAGAGTTTAATGAATAGTTAATTACTTCTTTACTCACACTATACATCAGCATATAGTGTATACTTTAAGTGTATAAATATAATTTCTAATTTTGAAAATTCAGACAAAATACCAAATTTCTATTGTGCGCATAACTGTGAATGCCGCGGAAAATTTGCTGCGTAGAATCTACTACCATTATTTAACGTTTACCCAGAAATAACACCACACCTGTATAATAAGGAGAGGGGGGAAGACACCTACCATGTTTCAGAGTAAAATATTTAGAATATTAGAAGCTAGGTGTCTCTCGAGCAACATTTTGTTATAAGATTTATTCATTCATATTGTTCAAACTAATTTGATTAAAGTTTTACCTTTTTATTTTCGTTTTTGGCACAGTTGATATAAACTGTATCTTGCCTAAAACCTACAAAAAATGTATCGAGTAAATAGTTAGAATAAGCAAATGATTCACATAAAATTTGTAAGGAATTGCGACTTTGTCACAAACTCTTAATTTATAATCCCTATTTCTTTGGAACCCAATGTCGTAAATCTTTGATATTTCAAACTTATATTATTCATAGTTTGAAATATCTAAGGTCCACGACATTGGAATCCAAAGATAGGGCTTAAAAAAGCAGAGTTTGTGGCAAAGACTCAATTAAAGAGAGGTTGCCAGAAACAACATTACACGAGGATGGTTTGGAAGGTAGATGGCATATGTTCAATAAGTTTATATTTGTTTGTTCAAATAATATTAACATTTTTAAATGAAACCGGGAGAACAGAAATAATACAATAATGCAATATAATATTCATTTTAAATTTTCATTTGGTTATCTTTGTATCCGTTCCAGTATTTCTGGCACCCGTGTATTGTGGTGGGAATTCCAAGTAGTTATTGCTGTCTTATTGCTCCATGCCCGGCCCACGCAAAGTTTTCCAGAGACTGAAAAATTCTAAATTTTGAGAAATTTTTTAATTTTCTTCCGGATTTTTAGACAAAAAATTTGGTAAAAATCAGGATTGAAAGCAAGTCGAAAATTTGATAGCAAATTTTATTGCAAATGAGGATTGATAGCAAATTGGTCTGATAGCAAGTGAGGCTTGTCAGCTGCAGTTGAGGCCGGATAGCAAATGAGTCTAGAATGTGATCGCAAATGAGTTGATAGTAAATGAGTTTGATAGCAAATGTTTGGATAGCACTGGAGGCTGATAGCAACTGATTTTGATTGCAAATGAGTTGATAGCAAATAATCATTGTTGTGAACGTTCATGTTCATTATACTTGCAGGCAGACCAAACCTTGAAGTTTATGACACATTTCCATTAGATTCTTCAAAATCAGTGAAATATCCATATTCCTTAATTCTTTAACTACTGAGTATACATACAAGTAAATGTTACATCAGAATTCAGCAGTCCGCATTTTCAATCATTCTTTATTTCACTTAACAATCATTTAAATTCAGTAAAAATGGTCCATTGATATACATTTCAAATTGAATTCAAAAATAAATAATAAAAAAAAGAGACTGTAAATAAAAAATGAAAGGGGCTATATTAGACTTGAAACCTGAGAATCTCCGGCGTTGAACAATACAATAATACATCTAGTATATGTTCCAATCTCAACAAATTGACATAAAACTGAGACAAAATTATTCCAAAACATATGTATGTAAGATATACGTCCGTATCATGTGACCAGAACTCCCTCCAATGACAGTGCAGTATACTGGTGGCGTGATGTAGACGGAAGGCACGTAACATAAATACTGCACTGCCATTGGTTGGAGTTATAGTGACATGTTCGGACGTATAAATAGTATTATCAATTATATCTATTAACATTTAAAAAATATTAAATTCAAATAATAATAGGTCCACATCTGAGTTTCTCAGGCTCCTCCGGGATATCGTCGTTTTCAGATTGGTTGCATATTTGTTGAATATGATCTGTTTAATATAACGAATCTTATACAAAATCTTACAAATATACGTTTTGTTATAATTTTGACACAGTTTAACATCAATTTCTCGAGACATGAACATCAGATAGAACATTTATAGGTCTCAATCAGCTCCTGAGATTCTCAAGTATCAGCCTATACCCCATTTCATTTTTCCTTTAAAGTCCCTTTAAAGGGACCATGTAAACGTGTCTGTAAGTGACCGAGTGGCATGTATAATTCACAACAGTACCATTAACAGTATTGTCTAATCAAGCATAGTTTAGATATCACATATTCATGCATTTCAGTTTTTTGAAACGGATGATATATACTTGTAGTTTCTCTACAGAAACACATTTCTTCAACGTCACAAATAGTTGGGAAATGATCAGAATTTAAATTGTTCAAACCAGAAAACCGAAGTTATCTTCAAAATAACGTTTTAAGGGTACCATTGTGAATCATACATCCCTTCTTGAAATGAAGAGCTACTTGAAATTTAGTATACAGTCCCTTTAATAAAAATTACTTGTATAAACTAACAATCTCTAATTTACCAAGGCAGTAGAGAAACAGTACTAAAGCCCGACCTGATAAAAACTAATAAATATTTTGAACTGGCATAAATCAGACTAAAACATGTTGATTAATGCTTATCTCAACTCATAGCTTGAGGGTAAATCTACGAAACTGTTAACACAAATCTACCAACGTCATGGAAAATTTGAATTTTTTCACAATCCCAAAATAACCATGAAAAGATTCACATTTTGAGACCTTTTCCATTGCTTTTTGAAAAAGTAAATAAGGATTACAAAAATGAAAAAACTGTAGGGACAAATTTTTAGATTCTTTAACATATTTAAGAAAACTAAACACACAAAAATTGGTTTCGCTTAAAATTTCAACATAGGAAAAAGAGTTCTTTTATTGAGTATAAAAGTTTAAAGGCCGGACTGTCTTTTCGAAGTTTAAAATTATAATTTTGGCACAAATACATACATAAAAAGTTCTATACTTTAACTACTAAATATATATAATCTTTACATTATTGCATTGCGGGTAGTTTAGTTAATTAATTGCAAGTTATTGCAATCATAAAGCACGCGAATTGTGTTGCATAGAATACTTACTTATTGCCTCCAATAAATACTAATTGCACAAAGTACATACTAATTGCACAGAGTACATACTAATTGCATTTAAAAAAAAAAACACATTTTGCAAAAAAATAATTACATATAGGATACTAATTGCACTGAAATAGTTCTAGATCACGAGTTTGAATCTTGTTGCATTTAATAGTAATACTGAAGGTGCATTGCAGAAGCGTAGTGCAGTACAGTTAAGTAAAAATATGTGCACTACAGTACAACTAGGTGCAGTAAAATACCACTAGGTGCACTACAGTACAACTTGGTGCCGGCCGGACAGAACAGCCTAGTGCTGTGTTGTACATTTAAAATTGGTGTGAAACACATTGAATCAGAATAAGTACATTGCATTTAAATTGTTTTATCGAGGCCAAATAAAAAAGATCTTTATCTTTATAAGGCATACAATCTATTACAAGTGGAAAAGTTTGTCGTCGTCGTAATTATCAATTTACAATGAAGACAACGTTTGATTTCAATTTTAACTTCTTCCAAGCTTTTAAACATATGTACACACAAACATGGGAACAATGAGAAGCTATTTACCGATTTTCGTTGTAATTTGAAATTCGAAAAAAAGCTTGTTGGAAATCAAAATTTGCAGAAAAAATTCGTCTTCACTGTAATAATATAAACTCCGACCACTGTAGATTTTAAGTGAAAAAACTTGCGACAATAAATCGTAAAATTTTTTTAATTGAAAACAAACGTTTGCGCATGACATAAAAAAACCCTCAATTCTAAACACAGATATTTACCCAACACTGGTTTTGGAAAGGTTAATGAACTTACTTACAAGTTAAATTGCATCATTTGTCACGTAATATGGCACAAGCAAAACCAAATATTCTGCTTAAATAAGGCATTTTTTACATATAACATAAAAAATGTAATTGATGATTAGATTTGAACATTTTCGTTTACATAGTTAGGCATTCAAGCTTCAAGTCAAGCACTAGTATTGCATTGTCTTTCTTTGAACATTTATGCATTGGTCATTCAGTTTCTTAAGTTTTACGTTTAAAGATATTTTTTGTTCAAATATTTAACCTTAGAAAATGCACCATTGTTTTAATCTCAACATTAGGCTTGCTTTCTCTCAATGCAACAGTTAATAGAGACCCCTCCCCCCTTAAAAAGAGATATTACTAAATTTTCTCCGATTGCATTTCAAGGTTTTTTTTGCGATTTTCTTCTGAGTTTATTCTTGATAATTCTAAGATGTTTGTTGATGTATTCTTCGCCAGGTGCCGCTGCAGAAACCTAAAATCCAAATCTTATAAATATAAATTTTACAATAACGTGAAAACGACTGAAAGAATGACACCCTAAAAAAAACATATTTCTGTGCAAAACTCTTTAAAGTTCAAGTTTCGCCCCAAAAAAATAAGCGAATAAAAGTAAGAAAAAATTTGTATTTTTCATTTTTTTGATCTGATTGCAATTGAGGACACCTTTTGTAGAAGGAACAACTTAAAAAGAGTCAACACATGCGTAACATATACATTCATATGTCCGTGGCAGCCAGATTTATAAGGAATAAGGATACATAAAAACAGTGCTTAGGATCCATTTCATTCTTGAAAAAATCGGATCCAGGCCATGAATTATAATGTTTTTGAACAGATAAAAAGCACTTGTAATTTCTTTCTTTCTTTTGTTCACGTATTTTTATGCTGAAACTTAATGCACCCTGCAGAGATTGTAAAGATTTTAATAATCACTTGTAAGTTTTCAGTTGAAATTTGTGTTTTGAGAGAAAAGTATATTTCTATCAGGTTTTTATGGCTTCTAAGCACTGCTTAACTTTACCTGTTCTAAACATTGTTCTGCTGCCTCAAGATTCCCTCTCTCCAACTCCACCACGCAGAGGTTGTGTCGAGCTTGGACATGACCAGGGGATATATCCAGGATCCTGGAGGGAGTTCAAAATAAAACATTTACAACATCATGGTGTCACAAGCCCTAACTGGATTAGACAATACCGGACAAGGGTGACATGGTGTTACAAGGGTTTTCCGAGCCTTTTCCTTACTTTTGGATAGCAAGATAGGCTTTAACAATAAAGATAACTTAACCAGATAAATTCTGATAGGAAATTAATCTTTCAATTATGATCAGAGGCCTTGTTACAATACAAGTTTTAAAATGCATAGAAGCCATTCATTAATCACCCTTTTTAGAAGAATTATAATAGAACTCCCTCCTCTGTGGGTCCTTTTAATTGTGGTAAAAACATAAGAAATAGTCATACCAATGCAATTTGTTTCAAGTCAAAAGGGAGTGGCCGNGCACTAAAGTGTATGTATCTGTATAAGTATGGTATTGTTCTTTATGTACATGTATTGTATAGGTATGGCACTGTAGTGTATGTACCTGTATATGTATTGTACTGAACTGTATGTACATGTATTGTATAGGTATGGCACTGTAGTGTATGTACCATGTACCTGTATAAGTATGGCACTATTAAGGAGAGCTTCTTTATGTTTTGGATCGTACTGCAGTGCAGTGTTCATGTACTGCAATCCTAGAAACAAATGGGGTTTACAAGTATTAAATAAAATTGTGTGAAGTGACCACTCCAACATTCCATTTTGAACGCATTAATGTGTAATGATGAAGATTAATTAGTTTAATTATTCAAATGAATTGTACTTTTTGCAGATTTACTATGAGCTAGCTCGAGGATTTCTACGGCACAAACTAATAACAATTTTTTTCTTCAAAATATAATAAACAATATCATAACATGTCACTTCTTCAGGGTGAGTGCAAATCAAATTATACCAAAACATTAAAATGCCATAAAATTTTCAATTTACAAAAGTACGATTTATCGTCGACGTGTTTCAGATTAACTAAAACTATATTCGTATACACATATACAGGGTCACCCACAAAGGATGAGACTGTAAAGACGACCCAAAACTCTAAAAATATGACAATTTGAAGTTTGCTTTTTGGTTTCTGCTCTCAATCGAGTATTTTAATGGTTTACAAAATGAATAAGCACAGAAATAAGCCAGTTTTGAACTATAAAGAAGCCCTGAATCAAGGAAATGGAATAAATATAAATAAATTCCGTACTATCGTCTCTGAAGTCTCATCCTTTGTGGGAAACCCTGGACGTTTTCAAAGATTGTCTAACCCGTTTATTGATTGGGATGATTTGTATGATGTCTTATAATTGAAACTTGAAATGTGTGTTTTCACTTTTCAGACTTTTTTTGAGGTTTTGCCAGATTTGTGGATCTGCATATCTAACGGATCTCTAGATCATGTAATGATATTATTATTAATATTAAACCTACAGAAAAAGTACCATGACCTATAGTCCATAATACAATAATAACAACAGAGTTGAGTTCCTCCACTTGCCATGGTCGATATAGACTTTAATCATTACTTTGATCCAACTGACCTTTTTCAGGTTGTTTCTCTTCAATAGCTACGACCCCCAGGTTATAGTAGAGATCAGGGTTCCGAGGATCACGTTGTAAAGCTGCCTTATACACCTGTACAATTCAAAATTTTGTTCATCCTTGTAGATAGTTTTTACCCAAACATTTTATGCATTTTTCCCTCAAAAATCAGTATTTGAAAGTTTTTGAAACAATTTTGATTTGTACTAAGCACAACATTATCTACATCAGTGAAACTTTGCATTAGGAAGACGACATGCATACAATCTTTAAATGTGTATTTAAAGCAAATATTCCAACCAATAGTTAATAATAGTTAGCTGAAGTTATAATTAACAAGGAACAGGGAGTTGTTAGCTGAAGAGAGTTCTAATAAACCAGGAACAGAAGTGAAAAGGGTCTTGCATTAAACTTTGCAATCGCTGTTCCTATTCTTTGGACTAAATAAGTTCTTAACTCGGGTCTAACAGTCGTCTTCCTAATCCACTGTGTTGTGGGTCTCACTGTGTCTTTACAGTCTTACCTCAATGGCTTCATTAGTTCTGTTCATCTTGATAAGAATATCTCCTCTATTTATATATGCCTGAAAACAGTTAAAGGAGCTGTCATCGAAATTCAAAGAGTTCATGACTTAAAAACAAATCATAAAGATCAACCATAATTAACTGACGTAAGATGACGTCTTAATCTCAATCGCTTAATCGCATATTTTACTTGTCTTTGATGTAGAAATCCACGAGTAACGAGAAAAGATCACAAATCTATAGGTTTCAGGTAGAAAAAGAAAAATTTATTAAGCATTGTTTCTCACAAAAAAAATATTTACAAGAGCAATTGCACTTGCACTGATATGATTCAATTATGAGAAAAGAAAAAAAATTTTAAATAAAAAGAATATCTTTATTGTTAGGCAGTATTTTCTTTTTGGCATTCCAAGACAAGTAAGTTATTTTTTTATGTTTGTAAGTAATTGCACCGATTTGAAATTGAATATTTAAGAACACGCCTCGATGTACTAAAATTTGTCGCTAACATTGCTTTTTTAACAGTTTTTAGGATTCATATTGATGCGGATCCAGATACAGATTCTGGACCCCCGGGGGGGGGGGGGCAGGATTTTAAAGCATTCGAAAATTTTAACATGAATATTATTATTATTAATGAAGGGGACAGATCCTGCATGCTATAAGATCAGGGTCATGTGTAAAATGGAAAAGCAAATACTAAATCAAATATTTTCCCAAATCACTCACATACATTACCGCGGAATAAAAATTTAACAGGGGACCAAGAATTTTCAAGATTTTCCAGTAGAAAGTTTAAGTCTGTTTTAATTCATTTCAATCTCTACTTACTTTTTATAAGCTTCTTCTGCTTTGTCTAGGTCCTTGATAATATTTGTATAGATATCTCCTAACAGTATAAGACCCTGCAAATATAGTTCATAAAGTTCAGGAAGTACATATAGTGCATGGAGTACATGGAGTACAGGGGAGTAAATGGAGTTCATGGAGTACTGTAGTACATAAATGATATTGAGTAAAGAAGTGCAGAGAGCAAATGAAGTACATAGAGTAAAGGAGTATATAGAGCACATGGAATACATTTAGTAAAGGAGTACATGGATCACATAGAGTTAATGGAGCACGTGGAGTACATGGAGTAAATGGAGTACATGGAGTACTGTAGTACATAAACGATATTGAGTAAAGGAGTACAGAGAGCAAACGAAGTACCTAGAGAAAAGGAGTACATAGAGCAATGGAGTACATCGAGTCAAGGAGTACATGAAGCACATAGAGTTCATGAAGCACATGGAGTACATGGATTACATGGAGTATATAGAGTACATAGAATTAAAAGAGTAATACAGTAAATAAAATAATAGAGTACAAAGACAAAATAGAGTATATACATGAAATAGAGTAAATAAAGAAAAAAGTATACTGAATAAATATAGTACAAACAATAAATAGTGTACAAAGATTGGAAGTGTTGAAAGGATTGAAGGAAAGGAACTAACCTTTACATTCGATGGGAATAATTGTAGAAAGGATTGATGAAAAGGAACTAACCTTTACATTTGCTGGGTAGAAGTGTAAAAAGGATTGAAGGAAAGGAATTAACCTTTACATGTGCTGGGTAGAAGTGTAGAAAGAATTGAAGGAAAGAAACTGAACTTTACATCTTTTAGGTAGAATTGTGGAAAGGATTGAAGGAAAGGAACTAACCTTAATATTTGTTGGATAGAAGTGTAGAAAGGATTGAAGGAAAGAAACTAATCTTTACATGTGCTGGGTAGAAGTGTAGAAAGGATTGAAGGAAAGGAACTGAACTTTAAATGTGTTGGGTAAAAGTGTAGAAAGGATTGAAGGAAAGTAACTAACTTTTACATGTGCTTGGTACAGGTTTAGAGTATTGAAGGAAAGGAAAGTTAACCTTTACATGTGCTGGGGAGAAGTGTAGAAAGGATTGAAGGAAAGGAACTAACCTTTACATGTGCTGGGTAGAAGTGCAGAAAGGATTGAAGGAAAGGAACTAACCTTTACTTGTGCTGGGTAGAAGTGTAGAAAGGATTGAAGGAAAGGAACTAACCTTTACATGTGTTGAGTAGAAGTGTGGAAAGGATTGAAGGAAAGGAACTAACCTTTACATGTGCTGGGTAGTAATGTAAAAGGGATTGAAGGAAAGGAACGGCGTCTAAAGGTCTATGCTGATCAGTAAGTAGAAGAGCCAAGTTGAAAAGTGCTCCTCTGCAAAAAAAGGTTTTAATACGTTGTTAAAGTTGACTGATAACTTAATCGTCGCAAAAATAAAAATAAAATAATTTGAGAAAATTTAATAGGCGTCCATGGTGCTTTGAACCCCTCTTTGATTTTTACTTTTTATTGATGATTTTTCTGCGGTATTTTCTCTTCTTAAATTAACAAACAACAAAAATTCCGCAGATTTATCAATGTTTTCGTGGATTCTTTTAAATTCGGACCATCCACAAACCTTTTCTGGGGTCCTAGGGTCATGTGAGGTCCCACGGCCACAAAAAATCGGACCGGATACAAACATACAGAAGCGAAGTATATAAAATTCGAATAGATGGATACAGGACTTCTGACTGTAGAATAAAAACAAAAATTGATGTATTCCAACCTGAAGTCCGGTTTGATATCGATAGCTTTCTTGAACCAATATTCAGATTCCCAGGTCCAACCCTGTAGAAAAAAAGAAAATAATGTATTACATGAAATAGCATGGTGTACACTGTGCACTGTACACTGTACAGAAGTCACCTGCAAAGGACGAGACTTCAGAGACGACTGTAAAAAAATATTTATGTCTTCATTATCTCATTAATGAATCTCTACAGCTGTAATTTTTCCAAAATATTTTAATATCCATTTTAACACTGAATTTAATAAAAACAATAAAGACGGAAAGACCATCCAATCTAAGAGTTCCAGTTCGTCATTAAACTCTCAACCTTTGTGGGTAACTCTATATATAATGGATCCAATTTATGGAATTTATTTTCGAATGATGTGTTCAGAATTTATTCGTCTTGGAACACTGCAGTTAGAATTGTGTTTAAATTACCAAACACTTGTCATAGATATTTTATTGAACCACTGTCACAGTCATCTCATTTAATGACCATGCTCTGCAATAGATTTGTTTCATTCATTTCTTCATTAGAAAATTCGTCAAAAATTTGTATCAGACTTTTGATAAATATTTTAAAATTTGATCAAAGGTCAGTAACTGCAAAAAATCTGAGAAATATTGCAGACAAATGCAACAAAGATTTGAATATTATCGACAAACGTATTGTAAAAAATTGTATGATATTTCAAGAAATACCCTTGGAAGAAGAATGGAGGATTCCATTTTTAAATGAATTAATTTCTACAAAAAACAATAACATTGTTATCAATGGAGTTGACCAAGCTGAGATTGACGATATTATTAATTTTATATGCACGAACTAATTACAGTATGATTTTGTTTCTTGTATTTGTATTCATTTTTGATATATACTCTTTATAGTTCTTTTTTCTTCTGTTTAATTGTACCAATTATTTAAATTGTGTACGTTTACGAAATAAAAAAATTTAAAGAAAAAACCACTCTCGCTCCCCCATCAATCAATCACTCAATCAATCAATCAATCAATCAATCAATCAATCAATCAATCAGAGTTTTAGGGATGTCCTCAGGGGGGCTGGATCTTAGCTATCTCTCCGTGTGTATTGGCCCGAGTGTACACTTGGGATAGTTTACTGAAAAAGGATGTTAAGAGTTTATGGCCTATTCATACAGTAAAAACATCAAATATGCAGTACGCTTTCGGAGTACAAGTGTATAAGGAAGTTTTGTATCTTGAATTTTACTCAGATTTCTCAGAACAGTTTAATAACGATGAAATATTGCTCTGTAAAAGACTGTAAATGAAAATCTTCCTGTGAAAATGGAATCCTGCACACGATAAAGGAGTAGTGGATTTTAGTAGTTACATGGAAAACAAATTCTCCATTTAAATATTTTCAGAAATCACCCTCGTTGGATGTCCTATTTTCCACATATCAATCTCGAGATGAAATTACTAAATCAAGAAAGAGATTTTCCCCAATTCAAAAAATTTAAACTTTTTTAAAAGAGAGAATGAAATTTTAGAAATACCCTGTGAGTGTGCAGTGGCAGTAGTCCTGCAGAGGACAGTGAAGGGGCCACCAGAAATAATCATGAGCAAAATGTTTAACAATTTAAGAAGTTTTTGCCATTTGAAAAATTGACAGTTTGCCTTTGTGACACTAAGCAAAATAAAAGGAAGTGGGAAGGGAAGAGGGGGAAGGGGGAAGGGTAAATGCAACAATATTCCCTACCTCATCCATTGTGATCATGCCCAGGTTGAAGTAAGCCTTTTCATTGGTTGGATCCAGGTTGATTAGGCTCAGTAATCTATCTATTCCTGTTTGATGCAGCTCAACCTTACCCAACTCCTGGACAGAGAAATCATCATTTACAATGTTCCTGACTTCACAGATGTAATGTAGGAGGCAGGTGCCACCCCCCCCCCCC